GCTGATCGACATGAAGGACTGTTCGGATGAATTAAAACCTATACTGATCAAAACGGTTAGGGATGGGGAAAGTTGGGTACATACAGAACTTTATACTGAGCTCGCAACTTCCGATGCAATAACAACACCAACCCCAACCCCAACCCGAAACACACACACACACACCACCACCAATGACTTGGTTTGTTCGGTATATATGGTGTTCGGTTTAAAGTAGGTAAAATAAGTACTATTCGCACCCATACTTGCAAAAAGAACCCTTAGGGTCATGACAATTTTGGGCATGTTTCTTTTTTTTTGACAGACCATGCAATTTCATATAAACATATTCGTGATCCGTAACTTGTATATCTGTGATCCGCTCAGTAAATGATTATCAGTGACATTCACATCCACCTTCCTAGGAATGGTGTCACTGCTGTTTTCTCCAAAGACGACGATTATACAAAAACAGATGACAACTCAAATCAAGATATTCATATACAGACTTCATTTCGTAGCTGATAAATCAGTCTAGACATTATCACAGCATTTATAGTCGTATTTGCTTAAACACTGTTACAGATTTTAATCATTTAAATGAACGTAGTATTCTAGTGTTGTAAACACTAAAAGTTAGAACAGCAAGTGGGACCTATCAATGATGGTTAACAGTGGAATTATCCAATAACGTGTATTTGTGATAAAATGTTTAAATATCACATAACAAAATCATGATCGTATTCACAGTATACATGCGTTTTATTGATGCACCTAATTATGATTAACAACAACAGTGAATATGACCGATTTTATATCACTGCTAATGTCAATAATTTTGAATATGGATTTTGTTTGTGTTGAATATATATTTCAAATACACCTTTTCCCTTTGTGAGGCGATGGAGTAGCTTGGTGGTTAAATTATTCCATCAAGGACCTGGTTTGATTCCCCTCATGGCTGCAACGTTTGAAGCCCATTTGCTTGTGTCGCAGTCGTGATATTGCTGGAATATTGCGAAAACCATGCTCACTCCCTCATTCACTCACAGGCCGGTGGGGTAGCCTAGTGGTTAAAGCGTTGGCTCGTCACGCCAAAGACCCGGGTTCGAATCCCAAAAGGGGTACAATGTGTGAAGACCATTTTTGGTGTCCCCCGCCGTGATGTTGCTGGAATATTGCTAAAAGTGGCGTTAAACCAAGCTCAGTCAGTCCCTCATTCACTCACAATTTTTAAGGGGCGGGGGTAGTCTAGTGGTTAAGGTGTTCGCTCGTTACGCCGAAGACTCGGGTTCGATTCCCCACATGGGCACAATGTGTGAAGGCCATTTCTGATGTCCCCCCGCCGTGATATTGCGGGAATATTGCTAAAAGCGGGAAAAACTAAACTCACTCACAATTTTTAATGTCAGACGCTCCGACGTATATTTGGCGACAATGATGGGCAGTTTGCCAGGCAATAAGGATGGCGTGGTCTCCATGGACACGCCCCAGTCATCTGGAAGTGACACAGAGACGACAGATGATCGAAGCCCTGAGACGGCAATATCGAAAGTGGGAAAGAGTAAGTAAAGAAAGTGACAGATTATGTTGAGCACTAGAATACTTGAAAACAAATGAAAAGGAATGAAGATTTCACTTCATAAAAAACATAGTCCCAATATTGGTTTGCTTAATATATGGAGGTAAAGTCCGATATGGACAATGTGTCAATCCGAGGTTTCATTCACATAAAACCGTTTATTCTCTCCTGACGGCAAGGGAATATTGATTCTGAAAATAAATAGGTCATCAATAACATTTCACAGACTGGTTATTCAATCATTAGCACGAATAACTCAATCGACATCTCTAATCACAATGAAACACGCCCCACCCACTTGGATATCAGCCATTCAGAAAATAGTTGTCCGCTAGAGGGCATGGCCTATTCACTTTTGGCGATACCGAAAAGTTACTTCATCAATCAAATGCCATATTATCATTACAATCCTTTTTATTGCTGAAATTTTGTATTGTGATGCACACAGACAAGTGTATGCATATTCATATCCAAACATATCTATGTATATATATACTCTCCCAAAATAGAAAAGCATATAGGAATTTCAACTATATTTTTATGTTTATTTTGATACATCTTGTAGTCAATGAAATATAGCGAAATTGCACACTGGGAAATGCAGACTTATCCGTCTTTGGCACCAACTCGAGGAAAGTCAGTTTGAGTGTCACTTAGAGACGTGTGGTGGCGCTGAAGTCAATACATCGTGTGACCACCGCGGGCATCCAGAACTGCACGGCATCGCCTCGAACGAATAAATTTCAGAATCTCGTGTTGCCCAATCGCAGCCCACTCTGCCTGTAGTGCGTGTGCGAGTTGCTGAAGTGTCTGCGGCTGAGGGTTACGGCGTCGCACCCGTCTGTCCAGGGCATCCCACAGATGTTCGATCGGATGTTAAGTCCGGTGATCTTGAGGGCCAGGGGAGCACATTGATGTTGTGGTTCTGGAGAAATTCTGTAGTGTGACGTGCTGTGTGGGGCCTGGCATTGTCTTGTTGAAACAACTCCCTCTGGCGATCAATGATTGGAAGGAGGTGTGGCCTTAGAATTTCGTCACAGTACCGTTGAGCTGTCAGGTTGCCCTGGATCATCACCAAATCACTTCTCCTACGGCATGTCATGGCTCCCCACATCATAACACTGTCCCGGCCGAATATGTCCACCTGGGGAGCGCAAGCGTCGGCGAAAGGTTCACGTCGACGTCTGTACACCCGCATTCTTCCAACGCGTCGTTCCAATAGAAATCGTGATTCATCACTGAGCCAGATTCTACGCCAATTCGGTAGGCTCCAGGCCTGAACGTTGGTGCACCATGGAACTCGATGTCGACGATGTTGTTGTCGAAGCACAGGGCCAAAATAAGGTCTTTCTTTCATGTAAACCAGCCTCTCTCAACCTGTTCCTGACGGTCTGTGCAGAAAGCCTCCTCAATCCGGGTATTTGTCGAGCGGTACTGGTCGCCGTAGCTGTTCGATGACGCAGGTTATGTACCCAGATGTAGCGATCCTGCGCCGCAGTGGTCGCTTGAGGTCGCCCACTTCGAGGGGCATCTGCTACCGCATTTTGCCGGCCATATCTCTCCCAGAGCCGTGTAATGGTGCTTTGGTGAACATTCATGCGTCGGGCAGCTGCACGTTGAGACTGGCCAGCTTAAAGCAAACCATTTAGACATGGCATTTTGCGTTCGTCAACAATATTCCAAATACAGTGAGTAATCGACAGACAGCGATCAACCTTCTATACCCAGCATTGAGACTATCTGATCCCCAACTTTCACGTGCATTGCATGTGAATTGTTTATTCTCTGACACTACACGCCGAAATTGAAAATCATGCTGTTAAATACGGGTATTTTACGGATGGTGCGTTTTGTTGTGATGTTTCAAAACATAACACCATAGGACTCATAAACAGAGCAAAACCATTTGTAAAATGAATCACGTTTTAATTCATTGCTACATGAAATTGCTATTTTCATGATGGGTTTCTTTTTTTGGGAGAGTATACATACATAAACATGCATGCATATAATGCCCAGCAATTGTTATCCTCCACTAAGATTTCTCATTTGATTTATTGATTGATTTATTGGTTGGTTGGTTGGCTGGTTGGCTGGCTGGCTGGCTGGCTGGCCGGTTGGTTGGTTGGTTGGTTGGTTGGTTGGTTGGTTGGTTGGTTGGCTGGCTGGTTGGTTGGTTGGGCTTGTTCGTTGGTTGGTTGGTTGGCTGGCTGGCTGGCTGATTGATTGGTTGGTTGGTTGGTTGATTGATATGTGAAGTGCTATTGCATTCATTTCCCAATTAAGGAACTCAAAAGTTAGCATGGGACTACTTTCGCTGCTGCGATGTCCGAATTCGAATCGAGGTTTTTTTTCAGTGTGCAAAGTGCGCATTATGTCGGAAAACGCACGTAAAATGTCCCAACAAATCAAGCAACCCATTCAGGGGTTCATACAGTGTTCACATCGGTTTTTGAATTTCCATTCGTACGTCAATGAACCCAAAATCTTACACATTCATTCATTCATATTACATTCAATCATACATTCATTCATGCTTTTCCTTTACCAACATAGGATTATCTAACTCTACTACGTTGACTATTGTATCATTAACAACGGGGAGAGCATGAATATACAGCTTCTTTATTATTGATATGAGCGACGTTTCGGTGTGCCTACTATAATACGTTTGGCTCAAAAGCGGAGCGATGAATTGCAATCTAACTCGAAAACTAATAAACATATCATGTTCAATGAAACTGTGATCATAATCAAAACATCAGACCAACTCTTTGATACTATGTCCTAAAACTAAAAATGTTGTTTAACAAACTATCATTAAACTATTGACACAGTTCACAATTTGTTACGAGGGGAGGTGTGTACAGAAAGGGACAGCCAGGTGTCCGAGAAAGGATGGAGACGGCACAGCACAGTTAATGAATCAATAACTATGTCGGCACTTGTGCACGTGCCTCTAGATTGTTGGGTTTTCTTCTTCTAATTCATAAATATAGTAATTATGTTATCTATAATCAGTATTCGGTAGGCTGATATTCCCATTCATTAAAACAAAAGTTTGCACGCTGTGATCAGTCAAAATCAGTCATTACAAGTTCTTCAGTAACATTTTCTGACTAATGAATGTTGATGTTGACAGGATTTTCACGAATGTAAAACTGAATTCATCTTAGTCACGAAACGAAATACACATGCTAAATGCATTTGTTTTATACATCAATTTATTTTTTGGGGGTGGGGGGTGGGTGGGTTAAAGTAGGTCATGCAATCCAGACAAATTCAACTGATTGTTAGCAGGGACTTTGGATGGGTTGTCACGTTTTGAAATATTTCATCAAACAATAAATTCTTGAGGGTGTCTTGGAGTGAGATCGGGTAACGGATCTGTGAAACAAGAAACCTTGTCTGGTTAATGAAAAGTTGTAATTGGTTCCAGATACCTCTTACACCACCACCACTGTGAAAGGATCGGAGAACAGCACAGTTACAGACAGCACCGTAATTGGAGCTGCACATGGCTGCACATTTAATCAGGGCGGTGTGTATGTTTATTGTATTATATGAAACTGTTTTGTTCTATATATACCTACATGTATATTTATAGGATGCAAGACGAGTTCCCCTTTCATATCTAGGTTATCATTCGTCACCACTCGCCCCTTTCCGTAACCTCCAAGAAGACTCGTCCCCGTCTGGGTATGTGCGAAAGTACGACAAACCAATCAGAACGCGCGTAATCATTGCAGTGCTTTGATAAAAATAATCCCGACTACTTAAATCGTAATTATGTTATTGTTTAAAAAATCATGAAAAATATATATCGTCATATTGAAAGTACTAAGAACATAGCTAACAGAATTTTGTAGTTTTAGGAAATGTAATTATAAATCGCTACGAGTTTCAAGACAATAACATTTATTGTATCTGTATGTAACTAATCAACTTTAATCTTTAACATTGGACATATATTTCACATCTCTGGGAATATTTTAGTCTGACGGTTTTGGGGGTCACTCATATAGTTTTCAGCGAATTCATTTAAAATTCCACTTGGGGCATGACAGCACGAATGTTCAGTTTGAGAAATATTCTAAAGACATTTTTTTAGTTTCTGTTTTGGGATTTAATGTAGCTGGGTTACACGAAGGTCAGTCTCTTTCCTGTCTCTCGATACTCTTGTCAAGTATCAAGAAAATGTATTATCATCCACCCGCAGATTATCTATTATCCTGATATGTTTAATATATGTGTGTATGCTGACTGCATCAACCCACAGTAAAAATATGAAATCTTACGCCAATACGTAAATATCAAAAGTTATACCAAGCTGCCTGTCGTGTTGGTTATACTCTACTCAGATTGATATGATTGAGAAAGGTTTTTGTTTATCTGAACGAGCTTAAATCATTGTTGCAGAGAAACAAAAGGAAAGACTGTCCTGTATCATCACTGAGGGTGCGAATCCAAAACTTAAGATATCAGGTAAATTGTCACATTATAAATTTAGACAGTTTAGATTTGCCCTGATAAAGATTAAACATTGTGTCGCTATTCCTGCAAAAATGTGTTTTGTTTTGATAGTTATTTCAATGAACTATTTCAAGTTGCAACAACATGTTTCAGTTCCCGCACAAGATGGAGGAACATTAATTTACGGTGAGTTGTATTCATATCAAGTCGAATATCTGTAAGATAATAATTGTAGATGGCATTGTGTGCTTCATAAACCTCGGGCAACTTTCTATCACAGTAAGAGGTTTGATAAATATTTTGTGATCCCAAAACTCTTCTTTTTGTATAAGGTATCTCCATGTGTAGCTTCACAAGTCGAATATTCCCTCTTATTTTGGCAGTAATGAAACATTTAAGCCTTTTCAATGCCTATTTCATAACAATTGAAAAACCAAAATATAAAATTCACCCCATAGGAAATTATTATTGGTGTTTTATCCCACATGGTATACAGAATAATAGCGAGCTTAAAACATATACGGGAATGCACCAGAGTCAAAATTCGTTTGTCACCTGGTGTCTTTCTAATGAATGTGAAATCTTTACAGTGACTGTAGAAAACACATAGATAAGGCATTTCTGGAAATAGTACCAATTATTGATGTAATGAAATAGAGAATAATAGCAAATGGAGGTCTCATGTGTTGTTGTTGGGTTTTTTCAACAGTTGATTGTTCCAACGCTACATTTCGTGACTGGTACTACTGTCAAAATGTCGACATCGAAAAAGCTTTCGCGTCAATATGGACCTTTGGAAATATTTTCGACGGTTTCAAAGCACCCATTATCAATGGAGAAACCGGTGATGCTTTCTTCGACCTAACTGCAAAGTTGATGAAACGTTATGGCTGTCTGTTGTACAAAGTTTACAAGAGATGTCTCGTCATAGAATTTCTACATGAAACAGAAGAAGGCAGAAACAAAATGATCAAAGAACAAGACACAGTGAGACAAATGTTTCAAAAGTTTTTGGAAAGCGTTGAACCAAATGCCCCAGTCTGTACTTTGGAAGTGAAAGGAATAGAAACTCCAACTTTAAGTGCCAAACCAGATACCGCTTCAAAATATACTGGGCATGACGTCAGCTTGGATTCAACACCATCACGCCCACAAGCTCGATCACCAGAGATAGAGGAAGAACAGATGTCTGAATTCGAATCCTATCTTCTGTAAGTACATTTGTATATATTTCTGCGTGTACCATATTTGTTAGCAGTGTGCATGCCATTGCCTGCGCTCTGATCATCGAACGTGTATGATAAAAGTCGCAATATGAAAGAAATGCTTTCAGAAATGTTTTATTTTGAAGCATATGATTGCTGAAACCTTTATACACTTAAACGCGGGGATCAAACGATCAGAGCTAAAAAGACTAGACTTCTCCTTGCATCCACAATATTCTGTACATTCAGAGCGTTAATGTCAGAAACTGTATCTGCTGAAACAGAATCCACAAAATGTACAACACTAATATCTGTCAACCGATCACTGATAATCAATGAAGACAGCGGGTATGTCGCTCTATCGATAGCACCCGTCACTCACAACGTAGTCATTGTAAATAGAAATTGAAGTGAATAAGGGATATTCCTCTCAATATGTTTTCATATTTCTCATGGATCCATTCTACCAAGCATGCATATTACGTGAAATACAACCAAAGTATTATGGTAAATGATCAACTACGAAGTTACTTCTAGAGAGGCAGATGTATAATCTCTTCAATAAAGTTCCTTTGAAAAGAAAACCCTTTATTATGAACAAAAGCTGCAATACCATTTTGACAATCTCCTGTAAAAGTTTCCCCTGATGGAAACTTTCAACGTTAATTGAAGATGGACTGTTTCTTGCGTTGACGTCATTTGAACTGGCTCGACGATTCTGCAAGTGAAATGAAGACCAGTTCTATGATATGTCTAATATCAATGTCGCCAAGTCAGCTACGAAACATCAGTTTGGCACAAAACCTTACAACTGCTCACTGGTGTGGTGCAAAACAACTTGGTTAATTTATTCACTTCCGAATCTCTGTATTTGAGCACAGCAGAAGTAATTCAAAGACAACTTATCGTTTTTAGGTGTAAAATAAAGTGTCTGCTCCAGAGTCGATTGTTTCTAGGATGTGTTTGTGCGGTATGTGTTTTGCAGAGTTCGGTGCTTGGCAACGGATACTTTCTTTAGCAAGCAGATTTGCGTAATTGGCGGATGCTACCAGAAGAGCATGGCAATTTCTTTTCTTTCTTGCGGATCATAACATTTTCATCACTAATTTGCTTTCTACACCCAAAAGAATCCGTACTATCTAGAGGACTCTGTACTATCAAGTGTCAATAATTGATATCCTGACTTGCATGTCACGTGTTTGCTTGAATGTATCAAGTATTCAACGTTCCAAATTATCTCTTCTATAAAAGTCTACCCTAAAACGTCTTCAAAACTACCCTGACTCTTTAATGCTGTGAGTCTAATCAAGCAGCTTTTGGGTTTGGTTGTTGGCGAAGTTATTACGATAGTTATAAAACTGAAAATGCAATGTTTTCCCAAGGGATGATCGGTACATTAGCAAACGCTTCCAATTACTGTCTTTGACAATGCATTTAGACCTCTACCATTTTAGTGAATCATCGAGCACAGGCATATTGCTGACAAACCGTAATCAGAGAGGACAGTGGTGTTGTATTGTTGGCGACTCAGCTCTATTAGCCCCAATGAAAATACGTTATATATTCAGCTAATTTACATTATGTTTGCTTTATTGCGCAGGAGAGAGAAAACGCACCCAGGTAGGTTTGGATTTGAGTACTTCTCGATATGTTGATTCTTTTAAAACACACAAGAAAGTAAGTAATAAATACAATACATACTTGTTTCACTGGGATATTCTGTGGATGACATAATGTTATTACTTTTGGAAATTAAAAACCTTTCGAAACAGGTATAACCACCTGATGATATATTTAGTGGAAAGCAAAGAGCATATGTACCTTAGCGACGGCCTTTAACATGTGGCTTCATAGTGATTCGTAAACACAACTTTATAGTGACAAACCAGATTCTGCTTCAGAGCAAACTGGGCAAGGCGTCAGGGTGTCCTTAACATATGCAAGCAAACAACCTCGAAAACAGTGGATGATACCTGAAACGTTCTTTAAGAAAGAACAGTTTGAGTAAGTATGTTTTTCTGTTTGTATCTTAGTTGTTAGCAGAGAGCTTGTCATTGTATGTATTCTGATCAACGAACATGTATGATGAACGTCGCCATATGAACGGGATACTTTCAGAAATGTTATATTTGGAAGTAGAAGTGATTGCTGCAGCTGGAAACTCATTACACGTCGACGTTTTATACTTGGCGTTATTGATGAAGGGTTAAGCTATTGGTAACACTATTTCTTAAAAGTTGTAAAGTCTTCGTTTTTGTTCATAACATATACAACTGATTGTTTTACAAACTTTCTTAACAGTGTGGAAAAACACATCAGGCCGCTGAAATCTCATTAATACGTTCTTTAACGTCCGACATATTCTGTTACAAATGGCACATTTTTTATTCAAACTGTCAATATGGAAATCCATAAATTAATGTCAATGATTTGCATGTGCAAGTCGCTCTATCCATGGAACGTGGAGGACAAAACACATGCATTGATGCCTTTTCACTGTCGTTCACTGTTCAAGTACGTGTTTGAAATAATATTTGCAGCTTAAAATGGGACGTTTTTGACACTTGCTGAAAGGGGTCAGGCTAAAGGCCTTTTGGAATCTGGTCAAACTCAGCGGCAGGTTGCTGTCCGCTTTAATGTGAGTCAGAGTACTATTGGTAGACTGTGGCAGAGATTTCAAGCCAATGGGTCCGTGGAATATGCACGTCGACCAAGTTCCGAGATGATAAGCCCATGATTCACACTGCGTTACGTAACAGATTTCTTAACGCAGCAGATATTCGGACAGAACAATTTTAACAATGTAAGGATATCCAGGAGCACCGTGCGTCGACTTTTATCGGTAGCCGGACTCCGCTGTCGGCGAACTGCAGTTCGTCCACCACTGACACCACTGAATCACAGATGCAACTGTGGCCACGCATAACTGATTTGGCTGGGGCTCGGTCATGGTTTGGGCAGGGGTAACTCCTGCTGGACGAACTCCACTGCACGTGGTCGACGGTAACCTTACCGGACAGCATTATCGGGACGATATTCTGGCTCCTATAGCAGTACAATTCTTTAAGCAAGGCATGGCTTTTATGGTTGACCCTCTTTACTGCAAGACGACAACGCTAGGCCTCATATGACCAGGATTGTCACGGAATTCCTTAGGCAGCTGGGCGTAGAGCGGATGGAGTGCCCAACATGCTCGCCAGACCCCTACTCAGTTGAGCATGCCTGGGATGAACTCGGCCGATCTGTGTACACACGTCACGCAGCACCAGTGGAACTCCCAGCTCTATGGAATGGAAACCGATTCCGAAAGCTTTCTTTATGAACTTGATAAGGAGCATGAGAACAAGGTGCACCCGTGTCTTGGACGCGCGAGAAGGGTACACAAGATATTGAAGGACAGAGTGCTTCATGTTTGTCATTTTCATTTGGGTGGATTGGTTTATACAACTGTATACGTACATGTGCTATATATTATTTGACTCTTTATTAATGACGCCTAGTACATATTGCGTGGTGCTAGGTAGCAGACACATTCTTTTGCATGCAAATTGTGTAAATGGCGGATGCTACCGGAAGAGCAGGGCACAAAACTATTTTGGCTTTTGCAGATCCATAATTTGCAATTTATGCATCACTTGGCACTGGAGGACCGTGTACTATCAACTGTCATTAATGTCCTTGATATCTTGACTTGCATGTAACATGCTTGCTTGAACTTATCAAGTATTCAACTTTCAAAACTACCTGTGCGATAAACGTCCTCATAGCTACCTAAGCCTCTAATGCTGTGAGTCTAATCAAGTAACTTTTGGTTGTGGGCGGAATTATTCGGAAAGTTATAAAACTAAAAATGCAATGTTTTCCCAAGGTATGATTGGAACATTAACAAGCGCCTTCCCATTCATACCAAGACCATTGTTGAGCAATCATGCTGGTATCCAGCACTAATGTATGAGGCAGTAAAGCAATTTGGTGAACCATCCAGCACGGGTATAATGCTGACAAACAGTGAGAACATGATCGATGCGAAGTTCCTATCATCGGGTTCTGGTGTGCGAAAGGGACTCAACTCTCCATTGGGTGTTATGGCGCCTCAGACAAAGGAACCACGTATGCCCGCTAAATTCAATTGATTGTTTGGTTATTTTGAGGTGGGGGTGCTATTATCTGGCGTGGAAAGAAAGGTAGTGCATATACACGCTAGTTTGACGTTGGATTTTCCAGTATTGTTTGTGACTCGATAACTATCAGTTCCTTTAACCCCACGGAAAATGCATTGTATATTCAACTAATGTACATTTTGTTTGTTTTATTATGCAGTGCAGAGGAGACGGACAGAGGTATGTTTGAATTTGAATATTTCGAAAATTGCAAAATTAATCATACCATCAGTAGTATATAGGGTCGGAGCAGGTCCTGCTTACACAGTCTTACATAAACAGTTCGGTAAATACCTTAGTAGGTCGCACGCTCTGTCGAGCACTGGCTTTATTTAATCTGGCTGCATTTAGCGTTATAATCCATTCAGGGTGTCATTGCGCGCACCATACCAACCGTGCTTTGTTTTGTTTCATGAAAGGATTTCTTTTAAGAATGCATTCAGACACACACCTTCCATTAACCTTTCCTGACCTGTGACGTCCTGCATATGCATCAGTTGTCCTTACTATGACCACGTGACTTGGATGAGCCAATGAATTTCTCCTAACCTTCCCTCTGGTTAGCCATGCGTATCCTCCGATAAAGCAGGTCCTGGTCCCATCCTATATACTACCACTACTCGGAAAAGCTAAAATTATCCGTTGATATATTTAGTGTAAAGCAAAGGACATATGTACTTTACCGGGAGCTTTTCACTAACACTTGGTATCATCACTGTTTGATAGTACTTCGTAATTACATAGGGAAACATCATGATGTTGTCTGAACCCTACAGTCGACACTGTCTTTACCAGAGATGTCTTATGATTATAAAAATAAAAGTTTTGACGCTTTTATATCAGTATTAGTTTCATATCTACTTAGCAGTTGTTATCTGAGACTTATATCTGAGACAACTATATAAAGAAATAACAGTGCAAATCTAAGAGTTTTACTGGGACCATGCCAGTTCCAACATTTTGAATATTGTGGCTACATACTTTCGATGCAAATCCAAGAGTTTTACTGAGGACACCAGTTTCAACCCGAACCTTCCCCATATACATTGTGTGAAGCCCATTTCTGGTGTCCCTTGCCGTGATATAGCTGAAATATTGCTAGATGCGGCGTAAAACCAAACTCATTCACTCACTCCAACCCGAAACCCCTGTGCATAATTTACCATATGCAGTGTATGAAAGTCAGACTAGTTTTTGGGACGTCTAAATTTACAGCTAGCTAGCCCGATGGTATTGTAAATATTTTTAGGTAGTATGTCCCATACATCTGAGTAAATTCACCATATCTTAAAATCTACTTTTCAAATTGAGCGTTACATTTAGACTTGATAATTACTGTTTGAACATTGAACTAGCGTATTGCAAGCTCAAAGCACTGCGTTAACATATATTATCGCTAAAAACAGCGACCCTATCGATGCGCGGAGTTCTGCAGGAAATACCTGTCTCAGGTTCATTAAATTATTCACTGTAACTAAAGCTTGAGTTATAGTCTTTGGATTGTCTGGTCTGGTAAAATCCACTTTGTCTGATGTCTGGCTGGGTTTTTGGCTTATTTCGTAGACTGCCATATGCCCACATTTCATGTGTCTATGTAGGCATATGTCAATAGATTGTGTGTATATTAACAGGAGAAACGGGTTTTCCAGTCACAGGAGATATGAAAAGTAGGTATGGAAAGGCACATTCTCAGGAAACGTGCTGAGTTAGGGTTTACTCCGCTTTTAGCAATATCAGGGCAGCTTACATAAGAAATGGGTGGCATACGTTGTACCAATGTAAGTAACTGGACCATTGACTAAACAGTTGACTTTGCTTTGCAAGTGTTTGTGACGGATTCCATTACTATATGATAATGTTTCATGAACACATGCGCGTGATATAGTAAAACATACTATAAACATGGACATATTCCTATGAATATTGAAAAAATATTTCAAGAAAGGGGCATATTCTTCTCGTCTATTTTGGCTTGAGATTGCAACAGGCAGCAATTGATAGTAAGTGGTTCCTTTCTACTGGCAGAAAGGTTCAGGGACGAAACGTAACGAATTTCAGTTTTGTACCGTATGCTCCCTGGCTTTATCTTCTGAACAATCGCCTTGCCTCTGCATGCGTTTGTGACGTGTAGCATCATATGCTCACTGTTTGTGCGAGTAAATCTTATCATTTCTATTTGATTACGATTCATAAATATATGCTTATGATATAGTCAGAATTGTATCAAGGGCGTGCTAGCTGTTGTAGTATCACTCAAAATGAGATATATATCAAAAGCATATTACTAGGTTATTCATAATGAATGGAGCAGCTAACTAAACTAATTTTTGTGGCAAGAAGTACATCAGTAACATGACTGACATACTTTCTAAATACCTTCCCATTTTGGATCCGGAATGGTTTTGTGTTGCATAAACACTTACAAAACCGCCTGAAGGGATCCGGAAGGAAATTAACCCGCAAATCTCAAAAATCCAAAATGGAAAGGTATGCAGGTTTTCTAAAGGCTTATAAAAAACAGAAACGTAGTTTTTCTTGTTACGAACTTGGTATTGATAACGGCTTATGTCATCAGGCAGATCCACGAAAAAGAGGATGCTTTCCATGCTTATGGTTATGGTATTATTTGCGAAAAAATATTAAAGAATTACTCTTCATGTTGTGGACGCAGTGGCTCAAAAAGACATTCTATTTGGACATACCTGCACAAAATAAGTGAACACCTGGTGTCATCACTGATTTGCGTGGTTCATCCATACAGTTTTTTTCAGTACATTTGCCCTTTTACTCCAAATGGAATCTGGTTATGGGGATAATCGAGAGTATGTATTTTTTGGTGCTGACCTTTTTTTAACTGGTGTGATAAAGCACGGTAAGTAAAGCGCATACACAAGCAACAAAAAGAAAGAAACTGTACACACGGAAAATCAAAATATACATTGGAACTTCATGTGTACAATAATACAGATGTAAACACAGTAATTAGTGAATTCAATGGAACAAAGGCACATGTGCTATGTTCAATGACGGCACGTGCAACACGTTTGTGTGTGTGCATTACGATAAACTGGATGGACCACATGGATGGCATAAACTGTTGTCGATTTGGGAAGCTTAATTGCTTGACGGTTGATTGTTAAAAGAAATAGTGGCAATTCCGTTTCTTCAACATCATTCTGACATTCAACATTTTAAGTTAATGGTAATGGCCACAAACGGCTAGGATTGCTTATCTTCAACATCACAGTATTCAAGTCCTCTCTCCCCAATAGAACATGTGCTGGATGAAATAGAGCGACGTGTATGCTGTGTACCAAATCCACCAGATAATGTTCGTGACTTGCCAGCAGAGTTGCAGAGAATATGATAAGCCATTCCACAAGCCTTCCATGTCCATTTGAAAGACAGTATGCGTCTGCTCTCTGTTCTCGGTGTGCGTACCCTTTACTGATTTTGTGACACATGCCCACATTTGGACTCTTAACGTCAATGTCGTGGACACCAAACATGCTGTTTTGCCGTCTTTCTATGACTTCACCTATTAAGGTTGCATGGAAACTTTTCGTTGTTGTTATATTTAGGTTTTAGAAAGAATTTTAACAATTGGTTCCAAAGCCGTTTTTCGTCCATGTGGGTGAAAAACATTGAGATCACTTCTGTGTGGAAAACGGCTTGTTTGTTTCTCTTCGCATTGCGTATGGCAAGTTTTAGTATCACAAGAGAATTTATTGATTGATGGATGCATGGATCAACATAAAGGGTGACGCAGATATGAATAAATGGTTACTCCTCCGTCAGGCGTAATATATATAGCTGACATTCATAAATTCTTTGCCTCACAGTTAAGAAATAGCTCACCTGTGTATGTGTTAATGAAGCTGTCTATTTAACATTGTTTTAAACATGGTTTGTGTTTTGCAGTGTCATTTATGATTATCATTTTAAATTCTGTGTTTAAGTACTTTCCATTGTGACATTTCTACTAGCTAACAACTTATATCTGAAACAAATATATGTCAGACTAAACATTACAAAGCCAAGAGTTTTACTGTAAATAACTTCAAATTTACCTCAAGTTTAATGTTATGTAATTTATTAGCTGTGAGCTTGTGCATAATATATGTCGTACATTGCTGTCATATTTCTTCAATACGCATGAATTAATCGATTATGTGTATATGTAACAGTAACAAAATCCGTGTTCTTTCCAGGGACATTCATTGAGCTCGGCGACAGATGTAAGTATTGAGAGTCACAGAGTCGAAGTGTTAAGTAGGTGTTTATGCCGCTATTAGATATATCACTGCCTTTGCATGTGTTTGTGACAGGTTCCAAACGTGTTTCACGATATTTCCACCTTGTCGTTAGTGAACGGTTTTTATCGCTATTTGATTAGGTTCCATAAACATTATAATATTCGTGAGTGAGTGATTAGTGTGATTAGAACTACCGTTGGATATGCGACTGTCGAGGAAGTAAATGTGAAGGAGACAAAAGTATTGACAAAACAGTATATGTGTATACATGTATATATACTCAAAGGTTTAGGTTAGTGTCATCAACACATTGGTTTATACAAATGAGAAATTGTTTATAATGCGTTGGGATATTCTCTATAATACACTTAATGTATGCTCAGCGCAAGTATTCAAGAGTCACCTATATTACATTGATCTGCAAAGAAATTAAAACAAATATGAGAGACATGGTGACTTATAATGATTGTATTGAGTTATATTTGAACAGTGATAGCAAAAGAAATCGCGTAAATGAAAAAGGGCCCTTGCGAATAGCACAGTTTAAAGGGTACCCTTCATAAGCAAGTTCACACACAGTAGTCAAAACTCCTGGTTCCAGACCAGAGTCAGTATCTGGTGTAACCGTCCCTGCTGTTGATCCAATCTGTGCACCTCCTTACCACGTTCATTATGAAGGCTTTGGGTATGGCATCCCACTCGTGGAGCAGAGCTCTCTGCAGTGTCCTCAGATCATCTGGCACATAGTGTCTTCGGTAAACGCGGAGCCCCAGCTCATCCCATAAATGTTCAAAGGGAGGAACAAGAAGGCATGTCCATTCTCCTAAAGCCCTGTTGCTGAATGAAGTCGTTGACGACGTGTCCAGGGTGCGGTCGAGCGTTATCATCCTGTAGTGACGCATGGTCCTCATGAATGGTGCCACAATTGGAGCACCTATCTCATCTCTGTAGCCCGGAGCAGTGAGATTTCCCACAATAACGTGTAATTGTCATCTTGCTGTAGCTGTAATTCCAACCCAGACCATTGTGGAACCACCACCGAATCGATTATGGGCCACAACAGCATCATCCCCAAAACGTTCCCGACGCCGTCTGTAGATTCTCATACGGCCATCATGAAATGAAACATTAATCCTGCTTTTATCAGTAAACAAGACTTAGGACCATTGATGTTGATTCCAGCGCTGATGAAGTGTGCGCCATAGTAAACATGCTTGGCGGTGACGTGCTGTCAGTGGTGGACGAACAGCTGGACGTCGGGAACGGAGACCAGCTGAACGTAATCTGCTTCTTACTGTTGTCTGACTAATGCGGACGTTGGTGGCGTTAAAGAGTTCATCTCTCAACTGTCGTGACGTCAGAAACCGGTAGAGCAAGGTTGACGTAGTAATGGTTCTGTCTCTGTGTGGTAACCCTAGGACGCCCATGTCTTTGGGCCTAAACAACAGGTCCAGTCGCCTGATGCCGCTGCCAGAGTCCCCCAATCACAGTCTGAGTGACGTTAACGTTTGCAGCAACCTGACGTTGGCTACCACCCGGATGGAGCATGCCGATAGCACGACCTCGATTTTCAATTCTCAAAAAAACGTCGCATTCTTTCAAGTGGATTTTTACTGTCAACCAAGCTTGAAAGCATGTGTTTGTCCCCCGATGTGCACTTGCCCATACCCCGATTTGCACGTGCAAATCGTGTGATAGGTTTGCGTTCGATTCTAACGATCTGTGTTCGTGCATTAAAATCGTCAATTGTTGGACTAATTATCACTGTTTGCCTACTTTTTTCATTGTTTTCTGTGGTTTGTCGTACTTTCAACTCTAAATATGATTAAAGCATCTTAAATTTCTACCAGTCATTCATATGGGTGACCCTTCAATAACAGCGTTGAGTATATAACCCAAACAGGGCCCTGTCGGTAGTTTTTGTTTTACTTTCAAGAAGTCCCTGGGAAAAAAGGCATAAAACGTGCCCTTTAAAATTGTGGCTTTAAACCTCGAATCTTTGTCACAACAAATGATTGTTTAGACGTCGACGGGTCCGAAATCACAAATTTGGAAGAAGCAGCTTGCATTTCTCTATGCCACAGCTAACTGAAAATGAAAGATGGCGAGCCACTGGAATGCTTGAAACCGTAAAACCCCAACGCAACTTTGTACAGCAGTTTTACGTGCACAGAAGCACCATACGCCACTTGTGGAGACGTTATCAACAAAACACCGTCGTTGCATACTGTCCCCGAAGTCACCGTTCCCCTGTAACCACGCCACACGACGATCATTGGATTCGAACCACCCATCTGCGCCAAAGATTCCAACCAGCCACACTGACAGCCGGAACAGTTCCTGGTGTCAACAGGATATCGCCAAGGACCACTCGTCGGCTATACGGGATACGTGCTAGACGTCCTGCCAGACAACACATTTTAACATCACGCCACCAACGTCTACGACTGCAGTGGTGCAGACAACGTTAGTGGAGAGTACGTGAGTGGAGACATGTTCTCTTCACTGACAAGATGAGGTTCCTCTTGCACCACACTGATGGCCGAACCCGCGTTTACCGGCGACGTGGTGAGCGTTATGTTAGGAACTGTGCCCTTGAGGCCGACCCTTTTTGCGGCAGTGGTGGAGTGATGGGTCAATGGTCATCAATGGAATTTTAACGCGTCACTAGTACAGAGACGAAATTGTTAATCCAGTCGTCATTCCGTTTCTCCAGCAGAATGGCCCAGGAATGATCTTCCAACAGGACAATGTTAACGTCCTTTCTTGGCCCGCTAAATCCCAAGATAAATCCCCAGATATTAAAATATTTGACTCCAAAATTAAACCTATTCTATTATATGACTCAGAGGTTTGGGGTTTTACACATTGTAATGCTTTAGAAAGGGTTCATCTTTATGCATGTAAAAGATTTTTAGGTGTTATGGTCAGTACTTCTGATGATAATTACTATTTATGCAGTAAAAGGTTTTGACACATGAAAGGACTGAAATAGACGTAAGCCTTACCGTTACTCATGGTTAACAAGTCAGTTTGCTTATTTTGAAAATAAGCTGATGAACGGATGGTTCAACTCTACCGTCTTATGTAACAAGCGAGTCTTAACACACGGAAGGAGGTGAGGTGAAATAGGGTTTAACGTCGTGCTTGAGAATATTGCGCTCATATGACGACGTGCATGCATGTGTATGTGTAGGTGCGGCTGCTTGTACTAGCCGAGACTTAAGCTGGTTTTATGGTGCTAGCCCACTGAGATACCATGCCGCAGTGAATCATGAATACCCCACTCAGACACTTTATACTGACTCCGAGCCGACAAGTCCTTGTTGTACCCATTAATGCCGAGCGCCAGGCAGGGACCAACAAGTACCATATTTTAACTTCTTTTGGTATGCCGCGGTCGGGGATCGAACTCGCGACCTTCCGCTCTCCGGGCGGACGCTCTAACCACTACACCACGGTTATTGTTGAAAGCAACAAACTACACATTGTTAAAAATCTATCAGTGTACATCTATCATGGGTTCAACAGTAGAAAATTTGCTTTAAATACCATGTGACTGTACACACTTGTATTGTACTATAGGCCTGTGGCCTCTGCAGTACCCTGAATAAAAGAAATTGAAGAATTGAATAGGTTGAGAGACGTCGGTCTGATAGCCAGGAGACCTTACCTTGGCAACGTTTTACGACGTCATCACCTGCCCGACGTCTCCGGTGGTGCAACAACGTGGTGGGCTGGAACTTACGAAACTGGAGGCGTATTTGATTTAACGACGAATCCAGGTTTCTGCAGTAAAGGCGAGCTGCAGGAAACAGAGTGTATGGACCTTTTCATGAACGTTACGCCCCACACTGTGTACGTCAAGTGGATAGATTAGGTGAGGGATGGGTTGGGGGGGGAAGTGTAATGATGTGGGGGGGGTGGGATATCCTATACCAAACGGACGGACCTTATCCACGTGCAGGGGAACTTGACGGCCGTTCGATACAGAGACGATATTCTGCAACCCCATCTCCTTCCAGTCATTGACGTTCGACGTGAAATCTTTCAGCAGGTCAACGTTAATCTGTTGCCTTGGCCTTCTAGTGCACCTGATCTTAACCCCATAGAACATCTTTGGATGTACTGGATCGACGTCTCCGTCAGCGTCAACGTCAACCTCAAACCATCCGGGAGCTAGCTCCATTTCTGCACGAGGAGTGGAGAATTATCCCCCAGACGACTATACGGCGCCTGATCCAGTCCATGACAAGGCGTGTCGGTTATTCGTGTGCGTGGCGGGCATAACAGATACTGACATTTTATGCACTGATGTTTTTGCATTATGGATGAGAAATGTCATGCTCCGATGTATCTGTGTTAAACAATTAGACGCATATGAATAAAACCACTATCACAACCGATTTCTGGCTTATGCGTTTCTTTTTGGAATAGTGTATATGCATGTATTGTTTTCTAACAATTTGATTGTAGATAATCAAACAATGCAGATGCAATGATGATGCGCAAACATTTATCAAAAACTAAATTTTACAGAAATACAAAGATGTATCAAATAATGGTAATGGGTGGACAACAAAAAGGAAAGACCCCGTGTAATCCGAAGGTGCAAACAACGAGGATCAAGAAACTCGAGAGGGACGTGTTGTACATAAGTAAACCTATGAGATAACTGAATCAATAAAATGATCCTCTGATCAAACCTTCATTTATATGGTCTTGTTTGGTCCGAATCAATCTCCTAATGGCTATTTAAGGGAGTCTTAACTTGTCCACTCCTCATTCAGGCCCAGTACTACCAACCTACTGGGTAGCTTTCTGTATCTGCGTACGTCTTCATATCACGTCTCAGACGCACTGTATGGGGGAAAGTACTGTACTAGTGTTGTTGTCTCTGTAGTACTGTTCTGGGACTCGCCCACATACAACATACAATAAAATTCTGGCAACCATAGTGATCCCGTCCAATATCATTACAC